CGTTGGGCTGCAATGACAGATAAGTTGTATATGTTTTTTCAACAAGTAAAAAATAATTGTAACAAACTTTTCAACTTGGGTAAAAGAGAAGCAAGCAAGACGTATCAATAATACAAATTAGATGGCAGGATAGATTAGGCCACAAGTGGTAATTCTGTCTAAAGCAGCGTTGTAGATGTTTTATCAATAGGCTTGTATTTGGACACGAAAAATAATATTAAGATTCATGAGCCTTACCTATCTTTTCCCAAATGAATTATATATGGTTACCTTAATTAATGCTTATTTAGAGGTGCCACATAAGGGAATGTAGGCAAAATTATTATCTACTTTTGAGGGAATACAATATAACTGCAGTTGTGGTTTTCGACGTATCAGATTATGATTATCCATTGGTCTTAACTCAGAGACAATCTTCCCCCACTTTCCGAATATCTTTCACTCAGTCATTCATATGAAAATAAAGTTAAGATAGAATTGATTTATATAGATATCGCCAGTGTTTAGTTTTAGTTGATTTCTCTTTCCTTGAAAGATATAATACTTATAATTTTACATATTTTTTTGCCAAACTCAAGAGTAGTAGACGTGAGTGTCAAAGAAAAATCCAAGCCACGCCCCAACGGCCTGAACACAGTTGAGATGCTTCGACTAGCTAGCAGCTGTCTGGGTATTGGACCTCAAGCCTGTATGGTCATTGCCGAGCGTCTCTACACTTCTGGCTATTTTAACTATCCACGCACTGAGACCACTACATATCCTCCTACCTTTGACCTGGTTGGTCTAGTTCGTCAACAGGTAGGCTTAGATTTTCAGTTGATCTTCTCTCAAATTAGTAACTTGCTTGGGAAAAGTATCGACACTTTTATCAGCCTTCTAGTTCTAATTGCTCAACTTCTAAAGTGAGTTTTGATTATATGTGTTCTCAAGGACTAGTGCAAGCCAACGATTATCTTATCTGTGGAGCTTTATTTCTACTATATGGAGTATTTAAACCAATCTTCGATCTCTAATGAATATTACTTATATATAATCCTAATAACATTTAGTTCCTGCCAGCTAGTCACTGCAATTTCGCATCATGTCCCCAATACATGTTGTAAACAAGGATAATAATACTAGTTTTTGTTGACATTATACTCTTCTCATATATTTATTATTTTGTTGCCAAACAATTTGTTTTTTTCCTATTTTTCTCGTGAATTGACAATGTATTGACTATGCCACATTCTACTCTTTCAGGCTGGTCATCCGATATGGGGCGATGTAGTCAAGGACCTCTTGGCTACTGGACTTACCCCTCCTCGGCCTGGCCATGATGCCGGGGATCATCCACCTATAGTACCAATGCGCCTCGCCTTACCTAGCGAGCTGAGTGGAGACGCCGTGCGTTTGTATGAACTGGTGGCTAAGAACTTTCTTGCCTCGGTTAGTGAGATTTGTATTTGCTCGCCAAATATTTAATTTTTTATAATCATTTTGTGCACTAGACAAATAAAAAAACATTTTAAACGTAGATACGAAGACCAAGATGTTGTCTCTATTTTGGCCGCGGTTTTCGATCGATCTATAGTAGTCATTTGACCTTGTTTTCGCAGCCTAGAGAAACGCACTTTGTCCGGAGTCCATAGTATGCATGACAATTTCCAGAGTCGGTCCGTGGATTTTGTATATTCCCAGATGTTTCGCCGAAATCGTCAGTGGGGCTTTCCATTCCCAGCACCAAACTACAACTCGTCAAAGAGACAAGAGGAGTCATCCTCGTCTTATCACAGCTTCTTACATGTTTATATTCCACAAGAGGTGTGCCCTTTTGGCAAGTTCACCGTAGCATCATTACAGCTGCTATTTGTCTTGCCCCCATCCCTTTTGAGTGGTTGATCCGACTTGGGCCTCATGTCTGGATCTGCCTCATGGACTAGTAGATCAGTTTCTTATCTTTCTAGTTGACCGATTTCACTCGGTTTCAGCCACAGTATACGTTTTAATTGAGTCGCTATTTATCAAGCCTTCAGTAGCGCGTATAATGTCGCCTTATATGCAAAGCGTCTAAGCTCTGATTCCCATGTTTAGGAATATTAGGCATTGCCTTCACGCCTCATCTCTGTGATTAAACCCGTGTACCCTGAGCACACTGTGGACATTTATCTCTGGTTTTATGCAGTATCTCGAGTGGATTATTAATCAATTTGGTCATAATGCCCAATTTTATGACCCAATCCCCCTCAT